ACAGGACAGGGCACGGAGTTGGCAGGACCCTCAGCGGAACCCCCAATGGAACAGGACATGGAGTTGGCAGGACCCCCGGCAAGACAGGTGACGGCGGGACCCCCAACGGAACAGGACACAGAGTTGGCAGGACCCCCAGCGGAACCCCCAACGGACCAGGACATTGGGTTGGCAGGACCCCCGGCAGAACAGTAGTCGGTGGGACCCCCAACAGGACAGGACACAGAGTTGGCAGGACCCTCAGCGGAACCCCCAACGAAACAGGACACAGAGTTGGCAGGACCCCCAGCGGAACCCCCAATGGACCAGGATATTGGGTTGGCAGGACCCCCGGCAGACTTGAGTAGGGACTAGAGAAGGGACTCGAGATGGGACTTGATAGGGAACTCGAGAGGGAACTCGAGAGGTGACTCGAGAGGAGACTCGAGAAGGGACTAGAGATAGGGCTTGAGAGGGGACTTGAGAGGGAACACGAGAGGTGACTTGAGAGGCAAGGCAAGGCAAGTTTATTTATATAGCACCTTTCAACACAAGGTAATTCAAAGTGCTTTACAAAAATGGAAGACATTTTAAAAATGGCATTTAAAATCAGTCATTAAAAAGAAAAAATAATAAAATAAACATTAAAAGAAAAAATACATGGATAAAAGTTAAAAGTTACAGTGCAGTTTAAGATGTGAATAGTTCAATTAAAAGCAGCGGCAAAAAGAAAAGTCTTCAGCCTGGATTTAAAAGTAGTAAGAGTTGCAGCGGACCTGCAGGTTTCTGGGAGTTTGTTCCAGATATTTGGAGCATAATAACTGAATGCTGCTTTACCATGTTTAGTTCTGACTCTGGGGACAGAAAGCTGACCAGTCCCTGAAGACCTGAGAGTTCTGGATGGTTCATAATTTAGCAGTAGGTCAGACATGTATTTTGGGCCTAAACCATTCAAAGCTTTATAAACCAGCAACAATATTTTGAAATCTATTCTTTGACACACAGGAAGCCAGTGTAAGGACTTCAGAACAGGAGTGATGTGATCCACTTTCTTAGTGTTAGTGAGGACTCGAGCAGCGGCGTTCTGAATTAGCTGCAGCTTTCTAATAGATTTTTTAGTGAGGCCTGTAAAGACACCATTGCAGTAGTCGAGTCTACTGAAGATAAAAGCATGGACAAGTTTTTCCAAATCCTGCTGTGACATTAGTCCTTTAATCCTAGATATGTTCTTTAGGTGATAGTAGGCTGATTTAGTAACTGTTTAATGTGACTGTTGAAACTCAGGTCAGAGTCCATGACTACACCTAGATTTCTGGCTTTATCTGTTGTTTTGAACATTGCAGACTGAAGCTCAGCGCTAACTTTTATACGTTCTGCCTTGGCTCCAAAAACCATTACCTCAGTTTTATCTTTGTTTAATTGGAGAAAGTTTAGACACATCCAGTCATTGATTTGTTCAATGCACTTACTCAGTGTTTGAATTGGAGCATAATCTCCTTGTGAAATTGTTACGTAAATTTGTGTGTCATCCGCATAGCTATGGTAACTTATTTTGTTGTTTTCATTATCTGAGCCAGTGGTAGCATGTAGATGTTAAAGAGAAGAGGCCCCAAGATGGAGCCTTGAGGTACCCCACATGTCATATTTGTCAACTCAGATGTGTATTTACCTATAGAAACAAAGTTTTTTCTGTCCTTTAAGTAGGACTCAAATCAATTTAGAACTGTTGCCGAAAGTCCCACCCAGTTTTCTAGTCGGTCTAGTAATATGTTGTGGTCAACAGTGTCAAACGCAGCACTGAGATCTAATAATACTAACACTGAAGTTCTGCCACTGTCTGTGTTTAAGTGGATGTCATTGAAGACCTTTACAAGAGCAGTCTCAGTGCTGTGGTTTGGACGAAATCCTGACTGGAACACATCCAAACAGTTATTTAAATGCAAGAAGTTACTCAACTGTTGAAATACAACTTTTTCAATGATTTTACCTAGAAATGGCAGGTTTGATATTGGCCTGTAATTGTTCATTACTGAGGCATCTAGATTATTCTTTTTAAGAGCGGTTTAATGACTGCAGTTTTCAGGGCCTCTGGAAAAATACCTGAGTGAAGAGATGTGTTTACTATATGAAGTAGATCTGAGGCCATGCAAGGAAAAACATCTTTGAAAAATCCTGTTGGAATAATATCAAGGCAGCAGGAGGAGGATTTCAGAAGTTGAATAATGTCCTCTAAGTTTTTTACCATTAATCTGATGGAATTGTGTCATGGTGTTTGAATTGATATTAGGTGGACATAGGGACAAAACATTTGCTGTACCTGATGTAGAGGCACTGACTGCTTGTCTAATTTTCTGAATTTTGTCAGTGAAGAAGGAGGCAAAATCATTGCACACCCTGGTGGATAGAAATTCAGAGGCTACTGACACTGGGGGGTTAGTTAGTCTGTCGACGGTAGCAAACAAGGCACGTGCGTTGTTTTTGTTTTTGGTAATGATGTCAGAGAAGAAAGACTGTCGTGCGTTTTTCAATTCCAAATTATAAAGGCCAAGTCTCTCTTTATAGATTTCAAAGTGAACCTGGAGATTTGTTTTTCGCCACCTACGTTCAGCTTTTCGACACTCTCTTTTTTCTGTTCTCACGGTCATGGCCTTTCTCCATGGAGATATTTTCTTGCTAATCACTTCCTTTACCTTAGTTGGAGCAATGGTATCTATAACATTTTTAATTTTTGAATTAAAATGATCTACTAGCTCATTTACTGAGATGTTAGCAGGGGCAAGTGTGGATGAGAAATTATGAGTAAACATTTCCCTAGTATTTTCTGTTAAATATCGCTTTGTGGTTACCTCTTTCTGAACATTTTTGTGAACAGAAATAGAGCTCTCAAAGAAAGGGGACTCGAGAGGGGACTTGAGAGGGGACTCGAGAGGGGACTTGAGAGGGGACTCGTGTCGGTCGGTACGCCGACAGGACACGGGGAGCTGGAGTTGGCCGGAACGCCGACAGGACACGGGGAGCTGGCGTCGGCCGGAGAGCCAACAGGAGACGAGGTGCTGGAGTCGGCCGGTACGTCAACAGGACACGAGGGGCTGGAGTGGGCCAAACCACTGACATGACACGGGGGGCAGGCGTCGGCCGGGGAGCCAGTACTGGAGCCGAAACTGGAGCCGGAACCATGGCTGCTGGGCCGGGAACTGGGGCCGGAACCATGGCTGCTGGGGCCAGGACTGGGGCCGGAACCATGGTGCTGGGGCCAGAACTGGGGCCGGAACCATGGCTGCTGGGGCCAGAACTGGGGCCGGAACCATGGCTGCTGGGGCCAGAACTGGGGCCGGAACCATGGCTGCTGGGGCCAGAACTGGGGCCGGAACCATGGCTGCTGGGGCCAGAACTGGGGCTGGAACCATGGCTGTGTGGGCCGTTTCTGGAGCCGGAGCCATGGCTGCTGGGCACGGAACCGGAACACGGAACCATGGCTGTGTGGGATAGTACTGGAGCACGCTACCATGGCCATGTGGGCCGGCACTGGAGCACGGAACCATGGCTGCTGGGGCCGTTACTGGAGCCGGAACCATGGCTGCTGGGGCCTGTACCGGAGCCCAAAGCATGGCTTCAGGGGCTCGGGCTGCTAGCCTGGACTTGCGACTCCTTCTCTTAGGAGCCTTTTGGAGGCTCCGTGGACCTCCAAAAGGCAGACGAGTACCCGAGAACGGATCCTGGACAGGAGCAGGAAATGGGGAAGAAGCAGGGGCTGATTCCAGACAGAACAAACCGAGACGTATGGTGTCAGGTAGGGAATTCGGAGGCAGGGGGCTAGCAGGCCGGGAATCACATGTCGAGAGGAAGTCCAAAATCCTGTCAGGTAAGAACTTAACTAAACATGGCTCCTCTGTTGCCACCTGGTGAGCCTCTGCCAGAGCAGCCTCTTTCTGCTGAACACTGGACGCTCCCCTCCACCTACCATAGCAGCAAGCCAATGAAAAGGTAAAATTAAGTAACTCCACCTCAAATGGATCATCTGCTGGGTCCATTTCTGGTTAGTTCCTTCTGTCAGGGTTGAGTGAAGCAGGCAGGACCCAAATGCAGATTTCACAGAAAATTCCTTTATTCCAAGGTTAAATTGTCAAAAACAGAACACTACCCCGTGACACAGTCAAAGACAAACAAGGAACTAACAAAGACAGACAGAAAAACCAGAACTTAAATACACACAAGACTAATCACACAAACAAGACACAGGTGAGGAGGGAGGAGAAAACACAGGGGCACAAGGTGAACACAATCGGGTAATCAGGTAGGAGGGAAAACAGACAGAAAGCAACAGGCAAGACAGGGGGGTGAACACTTTTCAAAATAAAACAGGAAACCAAAGACAGAAAAAGACAAGACAAAACACAACACAGACAGATCGTGACAAGGTGTGTATCACTCACCCAGGTCATGGCATAGCCCAGCGATCTGAACACAAAGGATGTCTCTGTCAGTGATGTTGAGATCCTGCTTTTCCTTCAGAGCTTTCACAAGCTCTCCTGCTAAGTACCCCACCCTTCACCAAAGCCTACAGCAAACACCAATAAAAAGTCATCACACAATTACCACTTGAGTGTCCTGCTGTAGAACAGGATATGCAATTTGTTTTAAACAGTTTATTGCTGCCATATGTAAATACAGTCCATTTACAGCAAACAAGTCTTCACTTCATTGGACATACCCAATTGAGTGTTCAAACCGGTTGTGGGAGGCTCCAGGATAAACCAAATAGCCCGCTCCCAGCTGCTTGAGGTATCTTAATCTCTGGAACTGAGGCGTGTCGATAATTTTGAAAAGAAGAGGGTGCAACTCCGTCATTAAACACCTAACAGAATACGTACAACAAAAAGACCTGTCAAATGAAAACAAGCTCTATTTTTTCTGAAGGCCCTGAACATGTAGTGTGAAGCAATAAATAAAACAAAATATTATATCACCTTGGGAGCTGATGGCAAGATCTTCAAGATACTGTCCAAGATTTTCTGACGAACCTCAGGTTGACTAAAGAAATCGTGAAAAAGGAGCATAGTTATAGTTAAAAGTCAAGCCAGGGGGAAGTTGTTGCACCAAATTAGTGCCACACTTCCTTCTTTTCATGATGTTGTATATGTTTTTTAATCGCAACCTGGTTTGACAAGGGATGATACTCACTGTATGCCCATCCCAGACATAAAATCATCATCATTGAGCTCCCACAGCTTGATGACAGACTTTTCTGGGTAAAAGAAGATGCAGTGAATTACAGTCCTGTATCACATTTTAGTTTTTTATGACAAGTTTATAAGCTAAGTTGAATTTTAAAAAACAAAAGCATTTTTTTTCATCAGCTTATTCAATTTGGCCAACGATGATATAAAACCTAACCATCAATTTAAATGACCAAGCCAGAAACTTACCTTTACATTTATCTGCCCACATTTCAAGTACTTTTTCTCTCAGGTACTCACACATATCCTCCCCGTTCATTTCCCCATAGTTTTCTGACGCCATTGACAATGTTTTCTGTGTCTAACTAACGATAGAAGACACAAATGATGTCGCTCCCTAATACAGCTGATCATGAAACGTCTGCACAAATATACTCAGGCTTTGAGAAGTACCTGGTTTTTATGTCTCTACCACACCCATTCGATTGGCCACTTCCCATAAAGGGGAATTATTTGGACAAAACCAAAACAAGTTGTCCAAAGGTGTCGCAAGTGAGCAGTATATTAGATTGGCGCTTTTTGCTGCTACTTTGACAACATAGCTGCTTCCGATTTTGTTTTTGTGCTGTTGATGCCAATTTTTATTTTAAATATAGCATGATAGGTCCACTTTAAAATAAGTGCTTAAACATAGTTAACATTCCAGGAAAGCAATATATTAGACGTTAAGTACTTTGTCAGGCTTAATATTTATCTGTAGATACAAATTTCACTGTGTGTGCTGTGTGCTCTGCATGTGTGACCATCAAAGAGGGTTTCATCCCTCCATATTCATCTTCTATACCCCCAAAGCTTTTTTCTTATTCAAAAGAAGACCTTAACCTAAAGTATTCTTTAATGTTTAAATAAAGTTTGTCTGTTTTGCACATCCTCCTATTAATATCTAATAATAAAATTATAAAATGCAATAAGGTGCTTTAACCAGTAGGTGTCCCTTTCTATCAGCTGTGCACCGTTATGGCGTAAATACAGCCTATCTACCAATTGGATCAAATATAAAAGTCCGCCGAATTAGTGTTGATACTGCAAGGAGACGTATTGTGTGAAAAGAAATGTAAGATGTTGTTTAATTGCTTATATATTTAAGATCCACGTCAAGTTTTCAGTTTTGGCGGCAGCTCCTGTTTGTCTAGAAGTCTTGTCATCAGGGCTCTATAAATAGAGTTAACTACGGCAGATATGTAATATTGAATGCAGCCGAAACGTGTATTACAATGCCGTTATGTGATGACTTTCAAAGAGAAAAGCAAGCACACTCGGAATAATGTATTATTTAATTTTTTTTTATACAGTCTATGGTTGCTACAGAGGATTGTGGGTAATGTAATGTCTTCGGCCATCCAAAACTCATAGAAAACTACTTGTTTCTCAGAATTGAAGGGGAAAACGTGACAAAAGCATTGTACACACACTAAAACCTATCAATGTCATTTAATTAACAAGGATAATCTGGTGTTTTTGAGTTGATGAGTAGTGGAGATATCACTGTCAAATCAATCGACAGTAAGGGGAATACTTACTTCCGGGTGTACAATTCTCCGTTATCCAATGGGAATGGACGCTCACATTGCCTTTAACAGCCTCCGACACAAACGAATGCCGTGCTTCCATGAGCGTCAAATCCCGCCGCAGATGGGAATACATTGCAATCAGTTGAAAGCTATTTGCGTCTGTTTATGAAGCTGAAGGAGCCTAGGAGCGTCCCAACTGCACGCCTCGGGACCCTGACCAAGCGTCGCTCCTGGACGTTTATGGAGTGAGAGTGTGTTGCCCAGACACGCAGATATGGGTATGTGTGTACAGTCTATACAGCCAAGCAGCCTGGTAAACCCTATGAAATAGTAGGCTGCATTTATTATACAACAGTGTACGTTTTGTTTTAGACATTGCATTAAATCCACTGTTTTAAATGGTCCCTATATTACCCTTTGCCCTGTAAGGTGTCCTTGTGTGCTATGAAAGGCGCCCCCCAAATAAAATGTATTATTATTATTATTACGTCATAGGAACAACATTCACTGTAAAGATATAGTCACATAACGATATCAATACCTGCTATGTTGTAAAATCCCTCTTTGATCGACTGCATGGGACATGTGCCAGGAAACAACAAACAGGGCCGTCCCTACCTACAGGCCGATCACGCAGACTGCGAGGGGCCTCACCTCGTCGGGGGGGGGGGCTCATCTTGCGGAGGGAGTCTCAGAGACGCAAATGCGGCGCACCTATGCGCTTATGCGGCGCAATTAGTGTGGCGCGGCACGGTTCCCCCCCCCCCCCCCCCCCTTCGACGACGCTCGCGAAACAGAGGGCCTCATCATCTAACTTTGCGTGGGGCCTCAAGTTGGCCAGGGACGGCACTGACAACAAAGGAGTGTGCGATCCCTGTCAGAGCATGTGCGACCTCAAGAATAGCACTGCAGACTGTATTCTTGCTTAGGTTCTCTGCATCACCCACAGCATACAGAAAACTGCTGGTTTCAAAGTAACGCAAAGCAAGCCAGTCTGCGGCACGTGCACGACTCCGACGTGTGGCATGAGCAATGTTTGGCTCGAGGAGCTGACACAGATAAATCAGCCCTTCTGACGAGAACCTGTATCTTTCATACAAATACTCATCAGAGAAAGCCAAAGGGTTTTGTCTGTCCCTAAATATCCTCTCCCTCCTGAGTGCGCCTCTCAAAATGGTGACCTCATTTACACAGAGAATTCATTGGTCAATAGGCAGAGCTTTTATACGCTGATCTCTTATCTGGAACATAACCTGCTGTGTGTTCAGCATAAGCTACCCCGGTAAGAAGTGAACCAGCGTTGTAGGACCGACCCTGAAATCACCTCGCTAACCGCTAATCCTGCTTCTTAGTACAGGGCACAGGTGTCCGCCTAATCTCTGGCTGCAAGACTACTGCCATCCATCAGTGAAAATATAGAGGGAGCTGAATACCTTTCTGGTTGTTTTTTAGTATAAAGGCTATATTTCTAGTCAACATTATGACTACCAGCATTTTGCAAGCCGTGTATCAATCAAGATACAGATTCCAGTGCACAGAATCAAATCACAACAACTGAATCATATACGCAGGAAATTCATTGCTTTGCATTGCTGCCTGTGCTTTTTGTGCCACATGTTTTGCATTCAACTCCTCTATCCCGGACTCCGTCATTGTCCCGGACGGATTTACTATTTCTCGCCAGAACCGGACTGTAAACTCAGGGAAAAGTAAGGGAGGTGTGTGCTTTATGGTGAACAATAACTGGTGCTCGGATGTGGCGATTATTTATTCGGACTGTTCTCCTCATTTAGAGCACCTCATCATCGGATGCCGGCCTTTTCTTCTGCCGAGGGAATTTACATTGGTTGTGCTGACATAGCAGGTCACCAATATTTGTCACAAACAGAAAACCTACCTGTGTCACTTGTATACCTTGGCCTTTAAACTCAAACCAAAGAAAAGATTGTAGCACTGAAATGGTTAGGACCATTTTAAAACAATGCACCAGCAATTACAATGGTTTAGCTTATTTGAAGCGTATATACCTGCATGTTTCTCATTGTGTGTTGCTTTATGGTTTATTACACCTACAGTATTGTAAGTTGCTTTGAATAAAATGTAATGTAATGCTCATTGCTAGTTATGAAGCAGATGAATGAAATAAACAAAATGATAAAAAAACAGCAGTGTGTCAGTATTTTTATTTTTAAGTGACTTTCTACTCAAGATGTTTATACTCTAACTGGAGTAGTAATTGTGCAAATACAGTCTTCTGCTGCCTGCTATTAAGTTGAGTTATTTCCTATCAGGCAGGTGCAAGAACATGAGTGATAGTTGGCTGCTGGCTGTAGTGTATTTTTCGCCAAGAAGCAGAACCGTGATGCAATTAACAGAAGCTCAGTCAAAAGTATTATTTTGGCGTCGGTTTGGTCAGAGTCTTTAGGCTGCCTAAGACCTGATGTTCCAGACCATGTTGCCTTGGGTGAAAATAATCCTTAATAATTTGAATAGGACCAGGAGGGGTTTCAAATGCAGAGGTATCCTTCCAAAAAACACAGGATGGTCCAGTCCAGAGACTGCAGGAAGACATTGAACCATCCTCTACATTTGCCACAACGCAATGCAATGGATTATTGCTGGTAGATTACTTTGTGACGTTAGTAGGTGTGCTGTGTACCTTGTGATTGTTGTAACCAAACTTTAAATTGCTGTTGTGATAGCCAATGATAAAGAACAATCCTGTCTGACTATCCTCAATCATAATGCAGTTAAACTGAAAAGATAAGCAGCATGTAAAGCAAGTATTGCACATAATTAGAAATAAAAGATTAGAAAATATATAGGGGTGGGATATTAGTTACATTTATTGTGCAAGAATGGCATATTAAATATAAAATGTACAGTGTGAAGTTGTGAAGTTATAAGTCCAGATCAACTTTTACGTAAATAAAATAAACGTTTTTTAAACATTATGTTTTGTAAGTATTCCTTTTATCAGTCATGTCAAAGGTCTACACAACACAATATGTTGACTTATACTTTAACCAAAAACTTCCATCAAAAAGTGATTTGAATGTGTTGTCTGATGTCCTGAATGACAAGCTGTATGTATTTGTCATTTAATTAAAGAAACCCTTTTATCTATTACATCATGAATGCAATTTAAATAATGGACACAGTGGACATTAGATCATGCCGTCCAAATGTTTTATTGACTTCAACTGAGAGCTGACACGGTTAAAGGAATGAAGGTGTGGAGACACAGAATGTTATGAAGACAAAGATTTTAAACTGTTCATCTTCATAGCAGGTAACTTTGGCAAACAATGATGTATGATGATCAAACATATGTAGTCTATGATTATGATCCAGGGATTAGACATGTTTTACGCCTTTAGATACCAGGAAATAAAACATATAAAATGAAATAAAAAGTGTTACAATTATTAGAAAGAGAGAAAGGAGCGACTGAGGTTGCATGCCTGAACGCTGACTATAGGAGTAGACGGCTGAGGCCTTGGTAATTTATCCTCAAGAAGCTCCATCAAAATTAAGATTTTTTTTTTAGCTCAATCGGACTATTTAGGTCACCAGGTCTTACTCAATAGCCGCGTTCACACCGGAGTACTTTTCACCGTACTTTTCGCGTTTAGTTCCGTGAGTACCCCTTATGTCGCGTTCACACCAAAAATCGCACTTAATCTCGGGTACTTTTACCCCCATTTTTAGAGCCCGCTGGGAGAGCGTACTTTTCTGTGGGTGAAGTGCCCCAAAAGTGCCCCAGTGCTGATTGGCTGGGAGAATTGCAAACCACGCCCGTACAACTGTGAAAATGTTATGTGGAGACGCCATTGTTTTTCCTCGCTACAAAAACCCAACGCACCAACGGAGCGTTGGGTT